CTAGATACACTTCCAGGCCAGCGTCCCTTGAACAAGTTTGTCTAGCTGATTGGGTTTCACAATTCCGACTAGTTCGCAAAAACTAAAATAGTTCTTCTTCTGAGTCTTCTTCTTCTGAGTGCACTTTGGATATAAATAGTGAGAACATCTACAAATTGCCAAACGGTCAACTTGTTCAACGGATAAAGAATCCAGGATCTTATCGCATAATAAGATATGTAAAATACAGCATAGAAACTGATCGCGAAAATCACTTCCGCGAACTGTTGATGTTATTTCAACCTTATCGTAACGAATGTGATCTGAAGGGCGGATGTGTTACATTTGAAGAAAGGGTCAACCAAATCACAGCAGCTATAGATGAGAAACGAAAAATTTATGAATATTGGCGCAGTGTTATAGAATCTGTTGAAATTCCAGAAGAAGATGATATGAATCCTTTTCCTTTTTTTGCCGAAGTTAATCAACATGATGCCACAGGTGGCGACGAGCAGGAAACGGTTGTGGACAGAGGTGAAGCATTATTGCAAAAAATTTGAATCTATATAAAGCTATATTTTTTCGATAATATGTATTTTAACATTAGGTATGTTGTGCCTGCAGTTAGTGTTTGTGGTTTAAGTGTTGGAAAAAATGAGAGCAATAATGTTTTATCCCTAGATATCACTAACATTGACGATTTGCCTGCAAATTCTGCCGATGACCATAATGCAGTTCCATTTCTATTACCTGACAGTGATTATTTTAATCTAGTTTCCCGCTTGAACCAAGAACAACGGCAGTTCTTCTATACAATGATTCGAAAATTCAAAGTACCTGATCAAAGCGACTACGAAATACCCTTTCTGTCTGGTGGTGCTGGTACTGGGAAGACACATTTAACTAAAGCCATTGTTCAATGTGCTCTCAGGTGCTTTCGTCGTCCCGATTTAGACCCTTCAGATATAACTGTGCTCGTCATGGCGTCATATGGAATTGCTGCCACTCATTTAGATGGTCAAACTATCCATCACGCTCTTGGATTGAAAATAGGAAATTCACCCGACAAAATTCTTGCCATTTCACCAGAGCGATTGCACTTTTATCAAAACAAGTATCGTGAACTCAAATTCGTTGTCATTGATGAGATTTCAGTACTTGGTGCCACTTTGCTGTATTGCATTGACATGCGATTGCGAGAAATAACTGGACGTGATGTTGCTATGGGTGGTATACCAACGCTTCTTGTTGGTGATTTGTTTCAGTTAGCACCAATTATGGACAACTATCCGTTTGAAGTTCCGAGACCACATTCTGTGCCATACAGTGCCTTTGCAGGAATATTGTGGGATTTTGTACGTCTATTTGAATTAAAGAAAATTATGAGACAAGCAAATGACCAACTTTTTGCTGAAAAACTCAACAGATTGCGAGAAGGAAAACAAACTCCTCAGGACATTGCTGCTTTAAATAACAGAGTATTCTCAAAACATATCTTGTCAGACAGTGGCGTTTTGCGAATATGCCGACGAAACAAAGAAGTGCGAGACCATAATGACATTATTCTGAATAATTTTGCGGGTGAACGATATTTGGCAAATGCTCTTGATTCCGTTTCCGGAGAATTTTCATCTTGCACGTTGTCGGACACAATTTTATCAAAAGTTGTCAATCTTGACCCAAAAGACACCGGTCAACTGCATAAAGAGTTGAATCTTTGCATTGGACTACGATACATGCTTACCATCAACATTTCAACATCTGATAAGCTGTGCAATGGGAAAACAGGTGTTCTTCGCAAAGTAGTTTCCCGGAACAATTTGCCGTCAATGATATGGCTAGAATTTGAAGATTCGAACGTTGGTCATCATCAAAGAGCCCTTTTTTCAAATTATTTCACAGACGATATTTCATTATTATGGACCCCTCTTGTTATGGTTACTCGGGTGTTCAGTATGGGCAAAAACCAGTCACTTCGTATTGCAAGGAAACAGTTTCCGATTGTATTTGCTGGCGCGATTACAATTCACAAGTCGCAAGGTAACTTGTACTCTTGTAACTCGAAATATTGTTTGCGAAAGTCGTTTCTTTTTGTTTGCTTTTGTTTCTAGGAGATGGCTATCAAATTGTCGAATGTGATTTCCGATCTGGGCGATCAGTGAATGCATTGCATTATGTAGGGATTGGTCGCGTGTTTGCCGAAGACAATCTTTATATTGTCGATAGTCTGTACGAACATCAAATTTCAGTGTGTCAGAAGGTAACTGTAACCAGTACGATAAGCTTAATGTACTATATGTAAATGTGTTTTTGAAGCTTTCTTTGTTGTTTAGGTAACAACAGAGATGGAACGCTTGCGTTGCACAAAAGTGTTGGAACTCCCTTTTGAGCTGCATCTTGCGGACGAGTACAATGCTTCCGTGTACTATCAAAACATTCAAAGCTTGAGGTCAAATTTTGCAGATTTTGCGACAGACGAAAGTTTATACCGATGTCATTTTATTTTCCTTGTGGAAACTTGGCTGAATAGCACAGATTCTTCAGATTCGTTTAGCATTCATGGATTTAACATGGATCGTGATGACTTTGAATACAACGTTTCGTCGAGCAGACAACACACTGGTATTGTTTGCTACATCAAGAGTGACATTTATGCTGAATGTGATGTTCACTTTTAGATGTATCAAAATGTTCAATTCTGCATCGTTCGTCGTCACCTCTCTGTATTGATATGCGTGCACAGACGTCGCTCTGCGACTACTGACTCTCAACTGCGAACTGCCTTGCGATATTGTCTGGATATGTACACTTGCAACGAGGTTGCCACTGTTATGTTTGGAGATTTTAATGAGAATGTGTTGATGCAGTGTAGTCTTCCACGGTTTTTGCTTGATGGATGGTCACTGCGCTCACTAATCGCGCAACCAACTACAAACGATAATACATGTTTAGATCATGTTTATTCCAATCTGTTGGAGACAGATGTATGCGTATACGAAAGCATTGTTAGTTTTCATAAACCTATTTTTATTTTCTTTCACTATCCTTAATTGATTGTTGATGTATCTGATGTCTAGCTTTCTATTAAGAAGCTGTGGAGTCTGTCGATTAGTGTGTTTCCCTTGGAATGTTTTATTTTTTTTGCGTTTAAGAAACTTGTTGATAAAATGGATGGGCCAACTACACCCAAGCGTGCCAGATTAGACAATGCAAGTTCAGCAGCACAATCGCCCGCGAGTCCATCGAATTCGCCGACATGTGGTTTCTTACATGCAGTGAAAGGGTTGCGAGAAAAGGGAGCAAACTCCTTCTTTGAATTTCACATACAAACAGAAAACGACGTTCTGCGAGGTCTGTGTTTTGACAAATCAAAACACAGCGTATTTATGAAATACTCATCCGAGAAGACACCCGTTTCAATAAGCGCGGCACCAAAATCGGATAAACGGGATCCAGGCCAAATGGTACTGATGGTTGGCAGTTCTACCAAAGTCAGTGGAACGTCGTCTGTACAGCATTTATGGCAAAAATTTGAAAATCCCAATTTGGTGCGTGCAGTATTCTTCTTACACATATATATCCTTTATTGAGGTGGGAATAGATATTTATGTTTAGCCCATTGTTTAGATCTTTGATTTTTCAAATATGGATGCACTTGTCGACAAGGAAGTTGCTTTTGACTGCGTAATTATAAGCAGAAAACTAGAGCATCTCCCTAATCACGAGTTGAATGAATTGCAAGTTGCCACCAAGACTGGTGAAAGGGTGACTGTCAATGTCTGGGACCCTATACATGACATCCACACGCCGTCAACCATTGTCACAGTAGACGGTCGCGTGAAACTGTTCAACGAAGAACCTGTCGTTAACGTGAGTTCTTGCTAAATCAACTTTTTATATATTTTGCATATGTTTTCTGATATTCAATTCAGGCTCTTTCGATTGTCCCAACAATGGACTCCAATGGCGAATTCGAAAAGGTGAAAGAAACACTTGCCGATGATGCAGTCTCTTGTGTTACCGAAGTTGTCCAAGTTGTGTCGTGGGGCATTCAACAATCGAACCACGACACCTGCTCCTCGTGCAACATCAAAAATGTTGAAGTCATTGAACTTAGCAAGGTGTGTAATTCAGACAATGCTTTTGTATTGCATTGAAAACTATTGTATCGTTGTTGAATAAAAACTGAAATCATTTTCGGTTGCAGGGAAAAGTTCTGAAGTGCAAGAATCCGGCATGTGGACTTGTCAGTCGGGCACCAACGCCAAAAGATGTTGCACACGTTGTTATTAGTGACAAACGCCGGTTTCTGATAGATTTAAATCTTTTTCCCGCTCCATGCACAAACGAAGTAAGCCTGTCTGAGTTCTTTCTCGAGAACCCGTCCATTACGCTCGAGTTCACCCAAGGCGTTGTATCACGTTTACACACCGCCTATTAGTAGTACGCTTAAGACTGCTTTACACTTTCTGGATGTCTAGTTGTAGACAAATTTTTGTTATGTCTCTCAAATGTACTCAAATCGTTCAAATGTACCTTGTTATATTTTTGATTGACTAGCAGTAGATGAGTTCTTTGTGATAATTTTCTTTGAATCTTTTTTGAAATTTACCATTACTGCATTTTATTCATTCTCTTAGAGGGTCACAGTTGACAATCCAGGTCACGTCGAAGAGTACGAGCATTTTGGACTACGTGTACTATTTTGGTGTATACATGTGTTCGTACGATTTTTAGCTCACGAACTGTTATTTCGGGCCCTTTGTCAATATAGTAAAATTTTGGTGTATACATGTGTTAGCACGATTTTTAGTTCTAGAAGTGTTATTTCAGGCTCTTTCTCGATATAGCAAAATTTTGGTGTATACATGTATTAGTACGATTTTTTGTTCTAGAACTGTTATTCTTCAATTATTAGTTGATAAGTTGTTATAAGTTGTTTGGTTTTTGCTTCAGTTTCTATGCCTTCGGTGTATTGCGCGTAGCGCCTATGTTAGAATAGTGTAAGCTGAGTGTAAAACTGAGTGTAAATGAGCTAAGCTCATATGATTTAATTACAACTAAATTAACTCGACTTGCACCTTTAGACAATTCAATTTTGACATCTCACAATCGGCTGTTTCTACTTTACCGCCTTTTGAAAATCATTATAGAAGAGCCTTTACAAAAAGCAAAATGGACTAATGCAAAATCGACATTAGAAAAAAAAGACAAATTATCGGCAAAATATTTTTCCAGCTAGTTTTCCCTGTAATCTTTGCGCTCTATCGCAAGTACAAAATGCTTTTCCAGCTAGTTTTCCCAGTTATCTTTGCACTTTATAGCAAGTAACCCGAACCTCCACTTCGCATGTGTCAAAATTATACATCACAGCAACGGATATTACAATCACTTCAAGGTCACCAAATTTTTGAAATAGACTTTCTCTGTATGCACACCTGCAAGATATACTATTTGTATTAATCTATCCTCATAAAACAGCACACTGATTGATTTAATAAGACTTGAAGGGATAAGAGTTTAGTAACCGTTCTTTGAAAATAGCACAAAAAAAAACAAATTACAGTAAGCAAACTTGAAATGGACGTCTACAAGCAAAGAATTACTCCCGTAAACGCGCGAAATAGAATGAAATGTTTCTTCAGTAGACAAAAATAAAATTATCAACTACGACGAACATGAATCTAAGACGAGCCGATTTTCTTTCTCGGGACATTAAAGCTCTAAGAGCACAATTCGATAGCAAACTTAAGAAGTAAAGTCAGCGAAGCAACAACTGCCATTTAGTTAAGGCCCGCTAAGATAGCATTAATGGTACCACAACAAATCCTCCAACAAATGTGTTAGAAGCATCGAAACAAAATTGGCCCTATAATGTATTAATAGTTCCGCTATGTAATCCACATCATTTTTTTTGAATTTTATCAGAATTTGGGATTTTAGTTTGTAGCACTGTACCACATAGGCGGGAGCTCCTCGTCACCCAGTCTCCTCTGAGGATTCAACATTTCAAACAGATAGAACGGCGACCTGTCTACCGTCTGTGTAAAACAATAGGGCGGATCGTCCATTCTTGCAGGATCAATCGGCTCATAATAGTTCTTCTTCTGACCTAAACTCCAGTTGAAATCGTCAAATATGACGGGTTCCAAGTGATGCAACTCGCGTTTTCTGGTCACTAGCTTATCAGCCAGATATCTTATTTTCTGGATGCAAGTTCTTTGCTCATCTATAGTATTTGGTCTGTGTCTAGGATCCGTTTGTCCCAACATATAATTCATTCTGTCTCGCAGCTGATTCAGTTTATAGTAATCGTCATTGGAGAAGACAACTCCTATGGCCACTTCTGCGTCCATAGAATCCATAATGGTCGCTTCTTCCTCTCCTACCACTATGCCATCAATTCCACACAAGGCACTAGCGTGATGTGTTTTACTTTTATCAGTTCGGATTTTAGCTTGCCGACAAAACATCAAACTCACAAGTTCCAGGTAACCCATCTGCTTGTCAATCAATGTTGTGCTTTTCAAAATTGCACTTTTATCCCTGTCTGAAATTTGAATGTGACCCGCAATCAACATTTTTTCCTCTTTCACATCCGGGTTCTCATCTAAGGCAATCGAATTGATACTATCCGGGGCAACGCGCAGATTCACGAAACTTCTTTTGGAACTAAACTGTTTAGTCACGCCTGAAAACTTCAGTTCCAAAGGGCTAAACGGACCATATAGTTCAACTTCTCCGAATCTTCGGATACTGTTGATTTTAATATCTGGCTCATCCATTGACAAACCATCTTCTCCTCCTATTTTCATCATTTCCTGTCTTTTCTGGCACGCTTTCCGTTCCATGTGGTTCCTAGTTGAAGCAAAGGTTTCGTCTGCTTCGACGCAAGCACCGTTCTGAAACGCTAACTGTTTGAAGTTCACCAAACCTTCGTTCTCGATACTTTTCATGAAACTGGAAGGGTCATTTTTGAACAAGATTCGTTTTCTGAGGAGCCTGGCAGGGTAAGCATAGAGATCTCCATGTACTCTGGATCCGTCTGTGACAGAGTAGATCATAGCTTCGAATTTGTAGTCCTGCTCGTAGCACTGGTTAATGTGCTCCCACATACAGTCCTTGTCTTCGTTCAGCTCCTAGAATTTGACAGCATAATGAATGTTGTATAAAGAGTAATTAAGACATTTTGGCACAGTGGAGAACCAAATTGTTGTCGTAATGCCACAAAAATATCCCAGCACAACTTATTAGCGTTAAATAATAAGACAGATACGAAGATTAAATTTTTAAAAGAAACAAATTCAACCCGCAAAAAGATTGGCTCTTAGTTGGAATCGAATCCAAGACCTTTGTCGTCCCATCTGTGGAAGTTACATTTAGAAAAAAACGGGTGAAATGAGTAGCTGGATGATGATATACTATATAAGCAAGCTGAAGAGTTCAGCAGAACCGTCCTGTGAATGACATTTTTAACGGGAAAAAATCTAGTACCCTGGTTGCAATACTGCAATACTCTTGATATTTACACGAGCAGAAACACTTATGTGGGTATCATTTCACTTTCAAAACTTTTTTTAATTTAGAAAATCAATTTGCTTTTGTTTCTTTTGCAATTGCAACTGTCGACAAAATATTTACTGACAACAGCGAACGCCTACTTTTAAATCCACTTTTTTCAAAACACCTTTTCCCGCCGTATGTAAGTGAAAAGGCGTATATATTGCACCAGTTTTTCGCCACACTAAAAGAACTTTTTCAAAATAGATTGTCAAAAGAGCTCCAAAACTGCCCACTTAGAGCGTTTTTGAGCTGTCTGTTTGCTTTCTTTCAGGTAAATAGACAAAAATCAAAGTACCTGTGACTTCTTTCGAGGACACTTGACATGTGTGAATTTGACGATAAAAGCGAGGAATTCTATCCGTCGGAGCTGTTCATACTCTGGCAGGATGTCCACTAGACTACTGCTGCACACAACTCCACTGTTGCCATAGTCCACAAACAACACTTTGCACTGCTTTCCCTTCACTTCTTCTATCTCACATCTGGAAACAGTTAAATTTTAGCTTTCCAACTCAATTGAAGTAATATGATCAACACAGGAGAAGTTGCAACTTCGCAAAACGAGCGAAAAAGCGGCAAACATTCAGGAGCTTAAATTGCACAACTCAAATTTTGCATGTAAAAACTTGGAATGTTAAAAACTAAAGTCACCTCATTAATTTTGCATGCAATAAACTAGAAGGGACCATCAAATAAGACGACAGCCGATAAGACAACAGTTTTTGATGTGACTTTAAGACAACGCTACATGCAATTCTCTACATTGAACTCTGAGAAATTTGAACCGCTCTAATTCGAACTGCTCACTTTACATGTAAAAACGCACATTTGTCGTCTTAATAGCCTGTCGTCTTATTTACCTAGCACCAAATTAAAATGTATGAAATCAAATTGCGGCGTATGAATTATATATTATGAAAAACTCGCGAAGTATATCGAATTGGCAAACTTCTGAAATCGCAAATCTCAAAGCACATTCAAAATTGCCACTATAGAGTAGCACTTTTATTTGCGAGTTAGATTGCAAAAAAAGTTGCATCCCATTATCATACTACGCAAAACATGCTTTTTTGACATGTTTTTTCAAAAATCTGACTGCGGCGCAAAATGTTTTTGTGAAAATACTTTCTTCTAGTGTTCCGATCGACAAAATTTTCGAATTAATTGTAAAAATCTGTCCCACCTCCCTCGAGAAAATCCTCGATCCGCCCCTGATAGTACCCATGACATAGCTGACTCACAAGATCTAAGCGAAAAAGCATTTTTCTCATCAATAAGTTTACAAAAACAGCTCGCTCACTTTCCCTCTACCTCTCTCTCGATTTTTGATTTGAACAATGCTCTATCGATCTCACGTGATAACCTTAGCCTTTTTCGCGGTAAATCAAGAAAATTGACACCCCTAACCCATTTCCTCCCTGTCTTACCCCCCTTCCCTCCATCTCCCCCGCCCCCCCCCCCCCCCCCCCCCCCCCCCCCCCCGATTCGCGCATTACCTGTAGAGTGTGTGTTGAGTTTCTGGATCAGTGTCACTGGGATCTCTGGCCAGACACAGTGTGCCCCTGTGGAAACTCCTCCTTCCCAACTTGGCCAGTTTGTCCTTCCCACTCAACTGGATGTCTTTGATCATCTCCTCCACCTAATATCATCATCATCCATTCGAGCACAGCGATTAGCATGCGTGCCAATTAGCAAGCACAATCTTTAAATTTACCCTTTGAAATACTTTATTGCCGCCTTTGCTTATAAAAGTTTGTACTATTTTAAGACCTCAGTTTTGGCTGGCTGACCCTAAAATTGTTCTACAGGCGCCAATCTGTACTATTTTAGGGGGGAGCGCGCTCCAAAAAAAAAACATTTTTTTAATGTCAAAAGTGCCTAAAAACGCCTGTTTTGGTACAGTTGTACCGGATAAGGGTATCTGGAATCGATATCCGGCATTTTTCTGATTCCGGCACGAATATCCAGAATCCGGTAAAATTGCACTGGATAATTACCGGATACTGACCGCGTTTTTTGACAAAAAAAATTCTAAGAAACACTTAATACAAAATTATTTCACGTATTTGCACAGCATCATGATCAGCTTGATTTTAATGAGGTCTTTGGCTTTGCTCAGGTAGTGCGTTAAAAAATTTGCCTTTGAAACCAGGATCTAGTAATGTTGCCGCACATTAAATTCTATTTCATCAATTCTGCCTTTATCCGATATTCGGTAAGTTTTATTATCGGGAACTATCCGTTATCTAGTATTTTCAAAAACACGTGCAGGGAACATCTCTTTTTTTTGGCCTGTTTTTCAAAAATTCGCCTGCGGTGCAAAAAATTTGCCCTGTTTAGCGATTTAGGAGAGCTCAGAAAATCAATTTGGCCGACCTAAAAAAAGGTCGACAACATTTTCGAGAAAATCCTAAATCAGCTTCTGGTTAGTAACATTCGGGAAAATCATTGCCATATGATAATAGGCCGGTCCCCTTTAGAAATGATCTTTGAAACGATCGAAATGGAAAAAAAATAAACATAGGCAACCGACGGTTGCTAAAGCATTTTTGGGCTCGAGAAGATCGTTGCTGAACGAAGGATTTCAGCAGAAAATTACTATAAATTATCATTAAACTCAAATCAGTTATTTTTACGGAGCTAACATGAACTTGATACTTTAAAACATAGCCAACTGGCAGTTGGAAAAGAGAAATGAAAGCAAGGAAACTGAAAAATAAAAACTTGTTTTTTCAAAAAGCTTCAATTTTCCAATTTAGAAAAAAATAGACGGCCTTAAAGCTCTTTGAATTTGTAGAACAAATTATGACGGACACTTTTTTGTTATAAATTAACCCAATTTGAGAAAACTGGATCAATAGATAAAACTTTTATTTCGCCAAGAAATCTAATAACTAATTTCCATTTAAGAAATTAGAAGTCGATCACGTTTTTCGTGACCTTTGCAAATTTGCTGTCCGATAGTTGAGTTTGCCTTCCTTTTAACAATATAAATGCACTGAACTTGAAAAGAAATCAAAATTCAAACCGCGAAAAATCAAAACTGAGCGTGAACAAATTTTAAGACTTTTTCCTGAAAAAAAAATTAGCAAGACCTATATAAGAGTACACACTACGTTCATTACTCTTAAATATCAATTTTTCTTAGCAAAATTTAGAACTGAGGAAACTTAAATTTTCAAATAAAACAATACCTTTTTATGAAATATTCAATCAAAGTTTAAAAGGATGACGAAACACGCGAAACATCAAAATCCAAAATCTTCAGAAAAATTTTTCTCGACACCTGGTATCTGAACTTCCATAAAAAAACTCGACTTTATCTGAAAAAAAACTCGACTTTATCCGATTTTTTGGTAGTGAATTTTACTCACTTTAACCAGAGCTTCTTTACTCGAATCATCCTTTCTTTGAGCATAAAAGGAAATAGCATTTATTGCATGTATAGGCTCACACATCAAAGATTTCTGCTCCAAATCTATCGCCATTGTGTTTCTTTTGCTCGCTTTACCATGCAACACTAAGCCTCTTGTTCCCACGCAGAACTCTTCATAGTTATCGTTTCCGGGTGAAACTTCAGTGTGAACAAACGCTGCAGTACTTGCAGTGTACAGATGAGGAGAGTTCAAACAGTTCAATGTATTCGGGTCAAGGCGGCTAAAATCGATTCTAGGTCGGTTCCACTTTCCCGCAAATCGCATTTTCACTGCCAAATAAATAGCTTTACTAATTGAATTCCTCGCTAGACTATCACTGCACGCCGGCTCTTCAAACACAGCATACAGTTTCGAATCTCTGATATGCAGCTCTATTTTCGGACAGTACTTCAATGACACTCTAAACATCGCGTCCAGCTGGTGTTTCACACATGCAAGTTCTTCTATTTTGACCCCTAGTGGAAGCTGGTTGAACCGAATCGTCTGTCTGGGGGGCCAATTGAGCGCATCTGCCTGAATTTCTTCCGGTGTTGGCGTTGCTGATGTGAAGTAAAGAGGGAAAAAGGCACCGCAAATGGCAAGTTTGATGAACTTCAGCCGAGTTTCTGTATCCAGATTTTCCTGTTCGAATTGCGAATGAGGGTAAATATCTTCGCATCTCAAAATTCCTCTGAGCTTATCAGTGAGATATTTTATGGTTTTTATTTTCTTCAGTTCCACGAAATTTAATTCGCACCATTCTCTAATTTCTCTTTTTTCACTGTGACTGCACTCTGTGAACTCGGTCGGGAACTTTTCCTGGAATGCCTGGTAGACATGCAACAGTGCCAGAAGATCACTACACGTTCCTTTGGCCCATTCCAGACGCTTCTCAAAACTCTCTAGTCTCCTGTTGAACGGGTCGGCGAAAAGTCCTCGATCGTTCAGGCAGGCTGCCATAATAATGCAATCCTCGAGAACCCCAAAAACCCACCCAAAAATGATTAATTTACCCAACCGGACATCCAAGGGGAGTCTGGCTAATATTTTACCCATATATGTCAGTTCTCCGTCTTCAACACTAGGCTTTGTTTTGGTTTTATCCGAGTTAAAAAGATGCAGAGAAATAGCTCCAAGTTGTTTCAGTGACTTCATAGATGAAAGGATTCTATCCTCAAGTGGCGGTTCAATCGCGATTCCCAATATTTCTTTCGGGGATCCCATGTCGAATGTTTTGATCTGCAAAATTATTGGTTCAAGAGGCGCTCGTTTCAGTTCGCAGACCGCGTGCTCTTTCAATTCCTGCTGATAGAACTGTTTTGTAACCATCCGGTAGCAGAAACCCTTTTGAACCCTACCCGCCCTTCCCTGTCTCTGAACACAGTTCGACTTTGAAGCCCAAATCAACTTCAACTCTTGAAACGAAGAGTACTTGTCAAACTCCATTTCTTTCGACAGACAAAAATCAATGACATACAAGACATCAGTTACTGTGATTGATGATTCCGCAATATTAGTGGACAGAATTATCTTTCTATAATTTGGATCTACTTCTTCAAACATTCTATTCTGATTGGCTAGCGGCTGTTCGGAGTGCAAAATTGTAACGATCCAGTTGTTTCGCTCCATATTCGGATACATTCTGTCATGCATGTCGGAAATATCAGCCAGTCCGGGTAAGAAAACCAAAACCGCTCCTCTTTTTCTGATTCGCTTACTCGTCGCCTCAATTTCGTCCAAGTTTTCGATGAGCTTGACGGCCACTTCAAACTGATAAGGATCGATCACTGGGTTATGTATATGCAGCTGCAAATTACTCAATTTGTGAGGCTGATGAATATGCGCGAATTCCTCTATATAATGAACATTTACAGGGAAGTTTCTTGTCTCGATATTAATCAAAGGTGGTTTCTGAACCGGACCAAATGCACTAGATTTGAAGTATTCCACAAACAAATCTGAATCGCAAGTAGCAGACATCAGAATAATTTTCACGTCAGGCGCTCTGCTTCTTAACTTTTTCACTAGCAACATAGCGAAGTCTGTGTCTTGATCTCTTTCGTGAATCTCATCCAGAATGATATGCGTGAACTCATTTAAACTCTTCCTCGTCACAATCTGCTTCAGAAGCACACCTGTCGTCATATAGGTCAATCTAGTTTCTCCCATCGTGTATTTACTGTCTAGCCCCACTTGGTATCCAATTAGCCTGCCCTCTGTCAGGTTGCGAACTTTGTTCACATATCGGCTGACTGATAGAGCGGCTATTCGTCTGGGTTGGGTGACGACACAGTTGAATCTGACCCTTCGTTGGTCACACAGGTCCATGATGTACTGAGGCACTTGGGTGGTTTTTCCCGATGCAGTTCCTCCTTTAATTAACACGACTGGGTGCTGATCGATGGTGCTAAACAGTAGAAATAGTTATGCACAAGCGAAACGCAGCATCGCATCGGTGAGGTATTAATAATTCACGCAAATCGCAACAAATTTGAAACCTATTTTAACTGAGAGGCGAATCTGAGTTGCGCATCACTTTGGATATTGCTCGACTAGTGAAAAAAGGCGAACAATTCAAGAGCAGCCTCACACCAATACAATGTACGTCGAAAACAACATGGTCTGGACAAAAACTGCAGAAAAATCAGGTTTTCAATATCTGTCGTTGCGTCCAAAAAATCAATTTAAGGCCCTCACAAATGCTTAGTTGTAACACTGTGCAAATCTCTTTTTCGCTTTTAAATGACCTGGTACGAGGAACTAAGCTTATAGGAAACAGTCCCAAATCGTTAAGCGAACGTTAAGATACTTACTCAAACAACTTGGTACGTTTTATATTTTATACCACTTGCGATAAAAAAAAGTACATAGTTAAAACAGCGTGACGCTGAAGAAATAGCAAAGAGGACTTCGAATGCGGTTACCCCGGAAAAAAAACTTGAACAACGAAAAATAATCGGAAATTTATTGATTTTTTCAAGAGGTCCAAATGGTGTTGATTTAGAGCATTCGAAAGATTAGATTGCCCACAAGTATCTATGAACTCCGTTGTGTTAAATATATCTATCTTCGGCGAGTCTGTGGGTAAAAGAGGAAGATTGTACTCAGGGGCATGACAAGGTATTGGATGGTTCCCAGCAATAGGAAATCTCAAATGAAATTCAGCTTTGAATTGATTTGTTTTTTTTTTCTCACGCGCAATTTTTGATATCTACGAATGTTTTGAGCGACTGATGATTTGTTTCTCAGATTTATTTTTCTATATTTTAATCTTAGCTGGTTCCATCTCGGCTGCTTCTGGATGACTCTGATCTAATGAGTCATACACGGCTTTTGACCACTCATAATTATTAGAGAAGTCCAAGTTTACAGGGCGATTCAGGACTCCCATTCTCACGGGTTGAGCAGTTAAGCAGCTAGCGTCGACGGTTGTACCTGTAGGAGTAAAAAATTTGACATCTGACACTTTCGTCAAATTCATCCAACTTTTGGAATACTTCGGGAGCAACTTTCGACAGGAATGTGATAACTTTGTACACCCTGTATGAATCAAGATTCGACAAATTGAGGTGATTTCTTGCTGGTCTGTTTATCATTTCAATTTCTTTTTCGAAAAAATTGCCGCACTTCTATTGATTTCCTATCATCAATCGGCGGAAACCGCTTACTACGTTGATTACTATCCTCTCAATTACTTCAATGTCGCTTTCTTGTCGGTCTACCTTCAACATTGGTCATTTAACACTTGGAATTGTTTTGTCACATATTCGTTTGAAAACCGTACAACCATACCTGCATCAATGTTCTGCCCTGAGTTTTTAGGTAAGGGTATCCGAAGACAGGAATGGTTAATTGCTAAGTTTTTAGAGGGGTGTTTTAATGGCTAACATTGGAGGACAGCTTTGCATTTTTTTTCTCAAAAGTCAATGGATTTCTATGTAGGGGCAAACAAAGCATGTTGCATACAATAAAATTAATTGTTCACTTGTCAGCTCAATTAAAAACGCATGTTAGTTGTCTCATAATTTACTCATTTCATTGCGTAATAAGTTAATCATCATTAATTCTTTTTTCATACAATCAAGTTGCTGTCCAGCTATCGCGAAATATTAATTCTGGTCCGCCTGCATAACCTAAGGAAAGTAAGCACACTGCCTGAGCCTACTTTAAAAATTCAAACTCCACAGGCTATGAAAAAGCTTGAAAGAGCTCAAAGAAATTGTCATCAAGTTCTGAAACAAGTTTCTCAAGTCAGTGGCCTTTGTGCTAGCCACAATCGCAACCAAGACGAACTGAGCGATGAAACGAACGAGCTTGAGCATTGCTTGGCTCAATCCTCAGTTGCTGACCACGAGCTGCTTGACGCTATCGTTCATGATTCAGAATACGAGCAAGTATTTGATCAATGCCAGAAAATACAGAAGACTGCTCGCCAAACTCTACAAGCCGCAAAGAAAATGATAGCCGCATCAAGTCAGCCAATCAACCTTTCTGCAATTACGCAGACCCACCTGTAAGGATCACGCCAAGACTGTCGCAGACCAATCTGCCTAGCTTCAGTAACGATTTCAATGCCTGACTAAGCTTCATCGATCAGTCTCGATCAACTGTCCATGACAATGTCAAGCTTCTCACCGGTTCAGAAATTGATGTATCTCAAAATTTGTTTGTTGAGCCATGCTTCTAAACTCATCATGAACCTGGATTGTATAGAAAGCAACTACGAAGTAGCGCTTCAAATGCTAGAGCACAGATACAAAAATGATCGTATAACCCTTCGGAAGCTCTTGTCAAGGATTCACTGCAGTAGAAACTGAGAACGTATCTCAGCTTCGTCAGCTACACTCAGTCCTTAAGAGACTTCGCAATCGCTCAAGGCCATCGATAGATCAGTAAATTATTTGTTGCATTTCCTCTTCGAGAACTTCGATCCTGAATCTCAGAAGGCAAGGACCTTGATAGACTTATGGTATTATTAGACAACATATTCAGGGCTAGAGGTGGCTCAAGGATCTCATTCCAGACCCAATAAACTTGAACGTGAGCAGCAGATGTTATTAACAGAAAAAAACCCATCTCACAAAAATTCACTGTGGTAAAGAGAGGCCGAAGTTCAAACTTGCCAATACAAACATCCAATTTGGCAGTGTGTGAATTCCGATCGATGACCGTTCTAGCCAGCGCAGTCCGAAGCTCACAGCAAAAATAGATGTTCTTCGAATCAACCGGACTGGAACCATCACAATTCTTCGAACGGCAAATGTCAAAGTTCGATCTCAGAACGGTCGAGTTCATCACTTGAGGGCGCTGGTTGACAATTGTGCTCAGACGAACGTCACCACCTTACAGCCTATCCACCGGTTTGGTATCAAACCAACAGAAGCTTCATATCGCATAACTGGAGTGAACCGGAAGAACACTATGTTTACTCAAGGACGAATGAACTTCACGTTCTACCAAAGTTTGGTAACAATTTAAAATACCAATGTTTCTTGTGCGGTATCGGAAAACATCACAGATCACGAGCATCCAAAAACACAAATGGCATTCACCGACCTACAAAAGGTCGGCAACTACAACTTAGCGGATCCAACTTTCGACAAACCCAACAAAATTGATCTCCTGTTTGGACAATCCGTCTACACACACATTGTGAAGTCAAGCAACTTCAAGGAAGGCACTATACTGTTAATCGGCACGACTCTTCGTCGGACAGTCTCAGATGCTGCTGATACCGACCACTAGAGTCACAACATGAAAACCTTCGCCACGGTATGGAATCAACTTCCTAAACAGCTAGTGCACCACATTTGTCAGATTCTGAGAAATTGACGATTTTCCTTCAACTCCTAAATCCCAGCACTCAGACAACGAGCTTGAATGCATCCAAAATTTCCATAAGACTACGACCTATGGCTCATATGTACGAGCTATGGTGAGATTGCTTATCAACAAATCACAGGGGATCTACGACGAAATCACCCATGAATGGTTGCCCGATATTGGTCATTCAGCACGCAAAGCTTTACCACAATTCATTTTCAATGAAAAGCTACGACAGAAACGTGAAGCCGAGAACAAAATATAACGATTTCTTCCAAGAGATGATTGACACAGGCCAGATCGAGAAGGTACCGGTGTCAGATCAATTTCTGCCAGTTGGGAAGTACCTCATCATGCAGTTTGGAAGTTGCTGAAAAAGACTTGAAAGTTGAAAGCTTGAAAGTTGCTTAAAAAAAGCTTGAAAGATGCGGGAAAAGACAACAAACGACTAGTAAACTTGACAGTCGCATTCATAATCATTGCCCAAAGACGACTTCGCATAAACCAGAGTCAAAAAATTATTTCAAAAATAAGTTTCGAGATCGTTGTCACCGGAAAAGTGGCCAACTTTTAGCAAAGTTTTCCGAATAAAAAAAATCAAAAGCAAAAAGCAAAGCATTTTCCAGCACGCTTCAATGGCTTGCCTACTTGACACAAACCATCCAGATGCTTCCTATAAAGATTTTTTACAAGAAACAAGACAGTTTCACGAGAGCTCTATTGTGGTCAATTTCAACTGAAATTTTCAAAGTGAAAAAAACCAAGTCGCTCTTCTGCGATGCAACGAAGATGGCTTATTGAGCAGCTATTCATTCTAAGCGCAGGAACCCACACTTCATTGCTAGCTGCCAATTCACGACTTGCAGTCAATAGTTCTGGGCTTTACACTCCTGAAATGCGTCTTGAAGTCAATCAAAACTTTGCAATTGGTGGTAGATGTCAGCGCGTGGAGTGATTCAACAATAGCACTTGGTTAGATCAGATCATTTTCAAACAGGCCTTTTTCTTTTGTGGCCAACCGCATTACCAATGTTCAACAGATGCTACCAGCCGAAAAGTAGAATCACGTTCTGACTCATCCAAATCCAGCCGATCATACAGTAGCAGCAGCCTAACTTCGACACAAAAATTGCAAAATCGTTATTTTATGGTTTCTAAGAGCTGAGCCAAAGCTAACAATCGGGGCAAAATATGTTTTGTATGCCTTTAGTTTTAGCTGCGAGAGTCGACCACTGAGGTACACCACTGTATACGGGCAAAGCATCAGAGACTTCTCTTCCGATTCGAACGGTTTGTTTTCTATTACACAGGTAATTTTCTAGTTTCAAGCAAGGACCTGCAAAACCAAAACTCCTACCGTTTTCAATAATCATCCAATGGTTAACAGGCTTGAACGGTTTTTGGAAATCCAAAGAGACAAGCCAGAAAGTTTATTTCAATGTTATCATAGTGAGCGTACACTTCATGCATGTATTCAATTAGGTTTGTGACTGAACATTTTCATGTAAACCGTGCTGAGAATTTGAGATAATAAGTTAATCAAATCGTCAAACCTTAATTTTTCTAACTTTTTTGACGTTACTGTTAGTAGACTTTTTGGGTGGTAATAGCAAGCTAGTTGTTTGTTACCTCCTTTGAAAATGAAGAGTTTCACTTAATTTCCACGTTGATATAAAGATGCATTTATTAGCTATCGTTAAAAATACAAAGATTTGGAAATAGAAAAACAGAGCTAACACTCAATGTCATCTGCTGTACTTGGAGATAGAACAGCTGAGTTTCTTCAATAGAAGGTTTCCAATGTTATTAGTTCCTTTAATTAATATCCAGATTTTCGAGTATTGTTTCGATTTCACTTATTTTAAAATCAAAACTCGTAATTTTGCTAAGTTGTGAGTTCTCTTCAGGAATATGAGCGGTGTGGCTAAAAACAGATTTAAAGTACTCGTTGAACATATGAGCTTTACTACGTCAGATGCAGCCGCTTTAACGTAACAAATTTCCACCAGATATGGACTCAGTTTTTCGGACTTTTTTGAAGTAATTTTTGCTGTTTTGAGAAGTTTCTGTCGATGCCCAGAGCTTCTTCACATGATCTCTGATCTACGGTTAATCTCTTTTCTATGTGGTTTTACCAGAGATTTCAATTTTTTCAACTGATGTCCGGTAACATTCTTTTTTTATTTTCGTCTCATTGGTTTTATTATTTTGATGAGGTTTGATCTTTCTGAGGTCAACCAAGTTGCTAATTAGCCTCTATGTTTAGTTTTCTTAGGAACGCGTTTAGAGATTTTGTTAATTAACCAATTGTGCCACAATTTGGTCAAGAAATCGACATTGCTATAACAGTACGGGTTAAACTGGTTTTCGACGATACATTGCTTTACGGTCCCCATTTGCTTTCGAACATGAGAATGAGCGGAATTTTATATTGTTGTTTGTTACTATTTCTCGGAGAAAGTTTCGCGTGGTAGTGTGGATGATCGCTCGTGTATACTGGTTTCAGTCGATTGTCCATTTTCACGGATGTTAATATTTCTGGTTGATTACATAGCATTTTGTCTAGTTGTGGTTTGTCTTTGCACGTGCTTGTTTGATCAAAATTTAGTTCTGCTAACCCATTCAGAAAAGCCTGCTCGTCCTCATCAGAGAATATTAATGGCAGCCTCAATGAACCAAATCAGGAATTATGTTTTACGACGTTCCTCATTTCATCCTTGAATCTATTGTTTGTAAAAAAAAAAACATTTATAATGGAGGTTAAGCTTAAAATAACTTATTTTTGCTGTAACATATTCGATAAAAACAACTTACTCCAGGATCCGTTCTCGGAATGGATAAACAGGGAGACTTTTGTCGTAGAAAGTTTCTGGCGATAATCTAGAGGGGCCAATCCCCAGCTGCTGCTGAGAATTGGGTTCATCAAATCCGATTATGGTTGACTCTGCTCGCATGAGACTATTTGTCTCATCTAGCTAAAAAGTCAACAAAAATGTTTGCCTTTAAGAGAAATGCATTTTTAAAAATTACTTCCAATTTATGAGGCAATGATATTTTTGATACCTACGTCTGGCTGAAACTGCATTCCGTTTCTGGTACAGAGAGTGGTCGCGGTAAAGTTTCTTCTTTCTCGTTTTTCGTGAATCTTTTGCGCCTTTTCTGCGTAATCTAAGCTTGCTCTGTCAGACGCACCAGCCACGTGAAAATAGTTGACTCCCTTAAATGACTTTTCTCTGCCTTGATTCTTCTGAAATTCTAGCCTCATTGATTCATTAATGATAGGATTATGATGGAACTCATTTTCGGTGTGCAACTTTTGGGCTGTAAAGTTCCCGCTGAAAAAATCATTGACGTCTTTGTTGTCGAATTTGTACGCCATATTTAATCTTTAACATAATGAATTCGAGAATTGCTGCTGAGAATTGTGTTCATCAAATGCGATTATGGTTGACTTTGTCTCATGCGAGCAAATTCAACCATAATCGGATTTGATGCTTGTCTCATCTTGCTAAAAAAGTCAACAAAAATGTTTGCCTTTGTCAACAAAAGCTGGAAGCAGAGGTCGATGTAGCTACAATAACAACAACATGTACGGATTCGTGTCTTCAGAACTGGTGTAGAAGTAGCTCCAACCACTCGTTATCAAAACTTAGGCACCTAAGTCTCCGTCAGAGGATTTGAGTAGGCGTGTCTCCGCTAAGGTTGAGTCTTTTGATTAAAGAGGAGCCATGATTCATGTAGCTTCCTCGGACAAAGAAATGGTGGACTCGCATCACTCTAGTAGTAGTAGTAGTAGTAAAAGACTTTAATTCCATTGAGTGGATACAGGGTTAATATAAATATTGAATGAACTTACGATCGACAATTTTTACAAAAACATTTGACAAAGAATGTGCATGATCTGTTTATATCAAACAAAGTTGAAGATGAACAAAGTAGAAATCGAAGATGAAGCACCAGCCGCGTTCTTATCGCGATGTCAGTGTGCCCGGTGCCCGCCCCCTCTGGCTATTCTCCTGTCATAAACCGCATTACCATATCGGCGACGCGATCAGGTCTTATCCTTCTGGCTCGGCTGCTGGGCCTGATAGAGTGACCCCACAGATTCTTAAAGACTTGATTAGCCAACCAGGAGTTCTGTCTGGAAAAGCTCCTTGTCTCATCCGTCCTCATTTCTTTGGAGCTAATCTTTTCGCCTTGAGCAAGAAGTCTGGAGGAGTTCGTCCTCTTGCTGTGGACAAGGACAACGTTGTTCTTCGATTGGCTTCCACGTGTGGTGGGCGCAGTTTGTCGAACGTTGTTCGTCAGTTAAGCTATGGTACGCCGAGACCAGCTCAAGCCGCGGTCTATGCCACGCGCAAAAACATTTTTGAAAATAAGCAGAACAACGGTAAAGTGCTTCTTAAAATTGTTGTTGTTGTGAATTTTCAGTAGGATACTGATGGGATGATATCCCCAAAAATCTCAAAATTTTGTCCGGTAATTTCGGCACATGTTGCAGTCACAGAAGAGGACCCATGTGCACTTGTTTTGTTCTGAGAATTGATCGTCGAAAAACTTCCATATCATCTGTATCAATCTTCGCTTTAAGCCTCGCATTTCTCGAAATTCAATTTTCTGATTTAGTCGGTTTATTAGACGGCACGTCCTGAATGTAAACTCTCCTCTAGCTTTTTAAGTTCTGGTCTTGTTTAGGTTGAAAATTTCTTTCGTTCTTCCTGGATTTTCAATTTTTGCCGGGAGCTTAAGGTGATCGTTTTCTTCATGCAAGAATTTCGCCATCGTCAGTAACTCGTTCAGCTGGAGAAACAACGCCAGAGGCAGGATGTTTAACAATCTCAGCTGCTCTGTATAGTCAGAATCGTTTCCCGTGATCCATAAAGATTGATCCATTGATTTCAAGAACGCCTTCAACTCCGTCTCGCGCAACAAGCTCTTTTCTCTGGTTCATGATCGTTATCCGCGTCTTTATCCCTACACTCATGCTGCCTACGCTTCGGCTTCGCATTTTTAATATTTTTATTAGTATTATTATTAAAGCTTTACAGTAAAGTACTGAAGGGGGTTTAATCCCAGACAGAGAATCAAAGACCTGCGACTAGAGAAGAGTTGCAGATGCAAGTGTAGCAATCACAGTTTATCACCCATGTACAAGCATTTTCGGTTGAATAGTAAGAGTTGAAGAACATCCAGAACAACTTTTTGAGTCTTTCTTTCAAACCGATGGGATTTAAGTAGTCGACCCATAGAGGAAGGGAGTTAATCATGCGGGTTATTCGATGAAAGAAGTTTTGACGCGACTTCGCGAGTCTCACTCGCGGCACACTTAGGCGAACACTTTCCCCAGAGCGGGTGTTGAGAGAGTCATTGAAATTAACATTAGCAAACCAATCGAAATCATAATGATTTGAAACGATTTTGGAGAATGTGAGTAAGTCGCATATCTGCAGATGTAGAGTGATTGGTAAGATGTTCAGTGTCTTCATTCTTTCGAAATAACTTTCAGTTTGATATGATAGTATCCACTGGGTGACTCGCCGCTGAACACTTTCCAGGGACTTCTTGTTTGACCTGTTAGCGAACCAAACTGTTGAATTATAAGTTAGGACAGGCACAATCATCGACTTGTATAAATTCAAGCGAGCGGCTACGCTGATAGAAGAAGAAATGTTTCTTCGGATTAAGAAAAACACTGAGACGGCTTTCTGACATTGCTTTCGAATGTGGGGAGTCCAGGATAGGTCGGAAGAAACGATAACACCCAAGTCTTTTTCATTTGAGACATTTTCAAGCGTTGCCGAGCTTAATACAAAACTCGAGTCTGTCGGTCGGAAAGGCAGAATGTGACAATTATCCAAGTTAAACTGAAGTGAATTGTTCGCAGCCCAGGAATTCAGGACATTAAGATCGCCTTGAAGCTCGCAATGCGAGTTTCTCCGATGTATAGACAGAAGTTTTGCATCATCCGCAAAAGCATAGGTACTGCTACGCACGTTGACTTTGAGATCAATAACATAAACTAAGAATAGCAGCGGCCCCAAGATGGATCCTTGTGGGATTCCGCTGAAAATATCTAGTAAACTGGATTTGTGGCCATCAATATCTACATATTGCTTCCGATTCGATAAATAAGAAGTAAGAACTCTCAAAAGCAGGCCACTGACACCAATGGCTTTGAGTTTGTCCAACAAAATGCGGTGCGATATGGTATCAAAAGCTTTGCTAAAGTCTAAATACACCGCTTCCACAACTGTATCAGGTTGGTCCACGCCTTTGTAGACTTCGTTCAAATACTCTAGCAGTTGTAGACAGGTGGATCGTTTAGCTCTGAATCCGTACTGGCATTTCGGTAGAAGTTTGGACACAGAAGGGTACAAACTACTGAAAATGCAACGTTCCAAAACTTTCGGGGCTATATCCAAAAGCATTCCTGGCCGGTAATTTTCCACGAGCATCCTATTTCCTTTTTTGAATAGTGGCTTGAGTTTACCAATTTTCCAGCGTTCCGGGAAGATACCAGTTTCTTTCACTTTCCGGAAGATATCACTGAGTGATTTGGCAATGTTAGGTACATTGCGATAGAAAGCCGGAGGAATATCATCGGGACCTCTTGACTTAGTAACGTTAATACGCCCCAGGATTTTTACTACAGAAGCTCCTGATGTGTCAAAATCGCATACTCGGTCGGAGTTTTCTATAACACAAGTAGTATTGTGGGAGTCGTCCAGTGTGTACACACTCTGAAAGTAGTTATTGAAAAGGAATGACTGTTTTCGAGGAGTTTCCGCAATGCAGTCCCCATGTCGAAATGTTTTAGGCAGAGGATTTGCTTGCCTCAGACTACTGAAATACTTGAACAAACGGGAAACTGATCTTGTATCAGCTAACAAGGTTTCATATTCAGCTTGGTCTTCCACAAGAGAATCATGAATATCTTGTTCTAAGTTTGATATTTTATCTGGCACATTGTTGTTCCGGAGTTGTCTCTTTTTCATGGTCTTCAGCTTCTTCATTTTATGCGATGTGGCAGATGTGGTCCAGGGGGGCACGTTTAGTCTGTGTTTAGTTTTTACTGGTACGTGCTCCTGAGTGAGTTTGAAGAGCCAATCGTACCATTCACATAAAAGAACATTCGGTTTGGACCAGCAATTGCCGATAAAAGGACTTTCGAGTATGGACTTATTCAGGCCTTCATAGTCGGCATTGCAAAAACTGAGTCTTTTTTGAGAGTTCTCACCGCTGACAGCTTCTCCCATTATTTCAAATGAGACCGGCAAGTGATTGGAGCACGGACGATTTTCGACGGAATATAGATTCCAAAACTTCCTATCTGCAACCAGGTTCGAAATCAATGGACTTGAGTCAGTGAACACTAGATCATAGACGTTCGAGTTGGCAGCTGATGTGGGAAAATTCACAAGTTGCGGAAAAGAGTGTCTGTCTAGTAGTTCCAGCACTGCTGCTTCGTAATGGTTTCCGATGTTCCAGACGCTCCAGTCTACCCCAGGTAGATTGAAGTCTCCCATGAGGAAAAAGCTGTCATAGGAACTCCCTTGACGATCAACAGATTCCAACAATTTGTTCCACTGCTCGAGACTCCATCGGTATTTACTCTTGTCATCCGGATTATAGGCTACCACTATGAGAACAGACTTCCCTTCGCAGCGGCATGCACATCCAACAGCTTCGACTCCATGTAACTCAATAGGCAATACTGTGTGCAATAGGCCTCTCCGAACTGCTACCAGAGCGCCGATGTAAAGAGTGCGAAGATGTACCAGTCTGTCTATCGCTTCGATAAACTTGGTAGTTGCTCATGTAAAGTTCAAATTCCAGGATGTCGCTGGTCAACCAGGTTTCTGTCAGTGCTATGATGCTGAAGTCCAAGGTACTAATAGCGTTACAAAAGGACTTCCGTCTTTTGTTAGCTAGAATGCTCTGTACATTGAATGTGCATACGCTGAATATCATGGTTTCAGTTTCGACAGTCATCGATGGTTCGGTCAGTCATTGGGTTGGTACTTCAACCCAATTCTCATTCTCGCCCATCTTGAAGAGTTTAAGCTTAATTATTTTTAATTCTTTTCTCGGGACATTTTCTTCGGTGATAAGTTTGTATCGTTCCTTCAAGACTTTTTTCTCCAATTCCAGGTCAGAGATTGACAGGTCAGGAGAAACATACAAAACTTTGTTATATGTCTTCAGTTTTGAAACAGACTTCAGCACAAGGTCTCTTGAGAACTGGTTTTCTAAAGTAGCTAGAATCGATCTGGGAGAACCTCTCCCAGCTTCATAACCACCAAGTCGTTTTATGCTTACAACTGCGGAGTCCGCTTCGAGGTGGACTAACATTTTCTTAACTTCGTCCATGTCTTTGGCAAGGCGGGCGTGGGGTAAACCATCGGATTCTTCAATCCCTCGAATACGATTCGCGCATGGGTCTGCAATGCGGGTGGCTCGCTGTGCCGGAGCATTTGCAGGGTTTGATCGGGTTACAGCTTCCTCAACTGACGCGAGATTTGCCTTTAAAGCATCAGAAAAAGTTTCGAAACCTTTCGACAGCTTCACTTCTAATAACGAGTCATCAGGTTTCATCTCTTGCCTGTGAACACTCATCTCTTGGCGCAGTGTGCTGAGTTCTGTCTGGATGTCTTTCAAAGCTTTCAAGTCGTCGCTCATTTTATTCGATTGTGCAAGGAAGTTTTCTTGCTGGATTCTTGACGCGGTTTCATTAAAGATTGCGTCACGCTTGTTGTTGTTTACACATGAGTTGCAAATTAACAGCACATTCAAGCTTATCAATTTCAGGCTTTCAATGCTTCGTTGCGGAAACTTTGTACAATTTTGGCTCAGGTGTAGGGAAGTACCGCAGCACAGACAGACACTAACCTCTGATAGACTTCTTGCAGGTTTGCAAACAACACTATGACCAGCCATGTTTTATCTCAAACTATTTAATAAGTTTATCACAACAATTAAGCTAACTAAGTTTATCAGGCCATTTCTAATCTTTAACATAATGACTTCAAGAATTGCTGCTGAGAATTGTGTTCATCAAATGCGACTATGGTTGACTTTGTCTCATGCGAGCAAATTCAACCATAATCGGATTTGATGCTTGTCTCATCTTGCTAAAAAAAGTCAACAAAAATGTTTGCCTTTGTCAACAAAAGCTGGAAGCAGAGATCGATCTAGCTACAATAACAACAACATGTACGGATTCTTGTCTTCAGAACTGGTGTAGAAGTAGCTCCAACCACTCGTGATCAAAACTTAGGCACCTAAGTCTCCGTCAGAGGATTTGAGTACGCGTGTCTCCGCTAAGGTTGAGTCTTTTGATTAAAGAGGAGCCATGATTCATGTAGCTTCCTCGGACAAAGAAATGTTGGACTCGCATCACTCTAGTGTAGTTAGTGAGTAGAAATCGAAGATGAAGCATCAGCCGCGTTCTTATCGCGATGTCAGTGTGCCCGGTGCCCGCCCCCTCTGGCGATTCTCCTGTCATAAACCGCATTACCATATCGGCGACGCGATCAGGTCTTATCCTTCTGGCTCAGCTGCTGGGCCTGATAGAGTCACCCCACAGATTCTTAAAGACTTGATTAGCCAACCAGGAGTTCTGTCTGGAAAAGCTCCTTGTCTCATCCGTCCTCATTTCTTTGGAGCTAATCTTTTCGCCTTGAGCAAGAAGTCTGGAGGAGTTCGCACTCTTGCTGTGTACAAGGACAACGCTGTTCTTCGATTGGCTTCCACGTGTGGTGGGCGCAGTGTGTGGTGGTTGTGAATTTTCAGTAGGATACTGATGGGATGATATCCCCAAAAATCTCAAAATTTTGTCCGGTTATTTCGGCACATGTTGCAGTCACAGACGAGGACCCATGTGCACTTGTTTTGTTCTGAGAATTGATCGTCGAAAAACTTCCACATCATCTGTATCAATCTTCGCTCTAAGCCTCGCATTTCTCGAAATTCAATTTTCTGATTTAGTCGGTTTATTAGACGGCACGTCCTGAATCTAAGCTCTCCTCTAGCCTTTTCAGTTCTGGTCTTGTTTAGGCTGAAAACTTCTTTCGTTCTTCCTGGATTTTCATTTTTGCCGGGAGCTTAAGGTTATCGTTTTCTTCATGCAAGAATTTCGCCATCATCAGTAACTCGTTCAGCTGGAGAAACAACGCCAGAGGCAGGATGTTTAACAATCTCAGCTGCTCTGTATAGTCAGAATCGTTTCCCGTGATCCATAAAGATTGATCCATTAATTTCAAGAACGCCTTCAACTCCGTCTCGCGCAACAAGCTCTTTTCTCTGGTTCATGATCGTTATCCGCGTCTTTATCCCTACACTCATGCTGCCTACGCTTCGGCTTCGCATTTTTAATAGGTGAGGCTGTGCTATCTTCGGAGGATGGTGGTCAGCTAGTTGACCCAGAAGCACGTCCGGTCTTCTGCGACGCAACGAACGACATCACCAAGAAGATAGAGTCAGAGTTGAGCCAGAGGAGACTATGCAACCATGCTTCGTGATTTTCACATGATAATTTTGAAGTCTTGAAAATTGAAAAAGACAAACACAGACTTACTCGCCATGCAAGAGAAGGGCGAGATTAGCGAAGAGCTGTATACTAGGTTGAGATCAACGGGAGCCCAGCCAACTAAACTGTATGGAGTAGCAAAAGTACACAAACAAGGCACACCACTTCGTCCCGTCCTTTCTTTACCTGGTAGCTCATATGACAACCTAAACAAAACATTGGCAAAGTACTTTGATGAGATTGAGGGGGCAAAAATAGAAACGAACACTCAAATGGCCATGCAGATCTTGGAAAAAACTGAGTTGGAAACTGACGAGAGTATAATATCAACCCTCCGGAAACATCTCGCAAGACTATGGAAAAACTACTGAATTTGGCAGTGAGTAAGGTACACTTTAAATGCAATGGTTTGTGGTATGTACAAAAGACGGTTTAGGTTTAGCAATGGTCGCCTCCCTTGCAGTAGCATTGGCCAATTTGTGGCTCAAAGAATACGCACCTGCATTAAAGAAAGAAGTACCAAAATTGACTATGCTAAATGAGAGTAACAAGTAAGTGTGCCCTAGATGTCAGAAAAAGGTCACAAATCGGATAAAAGGGGTAGAATGGGAAGCTGGTTTGAATTGGTACCAATTAGGGTATGGTATTATATCGGAACCCGAATACGCAGACAACACTGAAACAGTTTGGTATTGCATGAGTTGCCAAAACAACAGGATGCAGATCGGAATGTGAATGGTGTTAAAGTTTTTCTAAGATATGTGAATGACATAGTTAGAAGGGTCAAGGGCGATGCTAGGTAGTTCTCGAGGTTGCCAATAAGTTGCATCCAAACATGCAGTTCACCATAGAAGAACTTGATAGTAACGGTTATTTGGCCTTTTCGAACTTAAATGTCAACGTGGATTCAGGAAGGAAGGTCACATGTGGTTGGTACCAAAACCCCACTGATACCGGCACCATTCTAAATTTCAGAGGCTGCGCACCTTTGCAGTACAAATAAAAAGTTTTTAAAGAGACGGTTCATAGGGTTTTCAGAAGTACCTCAACATGGGAAGATTTTGACCAGGCATTGAAAAAAATCGGAAACAATGGATTGAAAATCAATATCCGATTAGTCTGTCAGGGAAGTGTTTGAAACTCTTAACAAGATCATTGCGAGAAAGAAAAATTTAGAGGTGAAGGCATCAGAACCGAGAAAAGATAAATGGTTGAAAGACACACACCCCTTCTTACTAAGCAATATCGAGGCAATCCATCTCAACTGGTAGCTGCAAATGTTCGGCTAATATCCGGGGCACAAATAATTATTCAACAAGTAAATTGAAAGCATGCTTGCCATCCCTCAAAACTTCTTTTTCTCGTGAACTGAGATCCAAAGTGGTGTACAAGCTTACATGCAGTTGATGTAACTCCATCTATGTCGGCCAGACAGTCCGACTTTTATCCACGAGGGCCACGTTATTTAGGGGACTCCCCAGTAGGGCAACACTTGTTAGAATGTAATAAGGAGGTAGGCGTTTTTGCTGAGCTATAGTCAGAGATTATAGACCAATTAGCCAACACTCATAAACTACTGTTATAGGCTTTGCATATTTGGAGGAAGAGGCGGAAGATCAACACACGCGATGATTTCAGGAGCCGGCAATTAACACTAAAAGTATAGTCTTTGTATAACATGAATAAAAGTTTAAAAAACTGACAACTCAGAATTAAAAATATTTCCAAATCAAAATTTTATAACCATGAAAGAACAAAAAATTAAAAAACCTCAGAAATTTACAGGAAAATGTTATTCATGATTACGTAATTACATTAAGTATTTACAGGTGTTTAAATTTGATGGGTTAAAAAGTTTCAGATTTTTTTTAGAATTTTTTCTCATTTATCAGATTTTTGATCGTTTTGTAAGTTTTGTAAACAATTTTAATCCTGATGATTCACAAAATGTGCGAAAACGTTTGAATTAACTTTTTTAATTTCTTATATTTAAGTCTTGAAGTGCGCCCAGACAAGTGTGAGCTATATTTAGTAGAAATCTCTTCAGAGGAATTGATGTCGTCCATTTTGTCTAAGTTCAACAGCATTTGCCGTCGGTATCGTTAAATTACTCATCTTGGGAGCACCGATAGGAGATGTCGCCATTGCTGAAGCCCTCGTGGAGAAGACGGCTGATCTCTCGAGTTTTTTTTAGCATCTGACCGAGAGCATTGATGATTTTAATGAATTAGTGACGTTTTTTGAACGATCAGACAAGTAGGGAAGTATTAGTTTTGACTGAGATGCTGTGTTTTAAAATTTCGATTTGGCTATGAACGACACGTAACTTTTTGTTATTTCGCACACACTGAAACAGCAGAACCACAGCAACAGAGTTCGTAGAGAACAACACTAGTCTCAGTGACAACAACAACGAAACGGCAGAAGATTGAAATTGTGGTTACAAATTGTCAGATACCAATCCGAGTTGTAACGATTGTGCCGCTACAATCGTTACCGAGCAGTTTACAAGAACCAGGAAGGGCGTTGGGACGACGTGTCCAGCCTACCGGAATGAATTAAGAGTGTTATTTCTCCGGATTCCAGAATCCGGAGAGGTCTCGGGCCCAAGACTCAAACTGTTGTATAATAAATTTTAGCTTTCTGGTCTTGCCGTGAACTGAATTGAATTAACATCCCGATTTATTTTGAGATAATGAGAAGCTGGGAGTTGGAGGAAAGGGTTGATCGATCTTCGATGGACATGATGATTTTACCTACTGAACTTGAAGTTCGATCTACTGAACATGGAAGATTGATGGTTTCAACGGATAAGCGACGTTATATGAACGATTGGAGAACTCGGGAAGGGTTGGTTTTAACTGACATGCTAATTTTTAAAATATCGATTTGGACGTGAACGACACGTAACCTTTCATTATTTTCTTCACACTGAAACGGCAAAACAGAACAGCGATAGTTGCAGTGAAAACAACTACGAGGAAATAGCGACAGATTGAAGTTATAACTGGAAATTGTCAGAAACCGCTCCGAGTTGTAACGATTGTGTCGCTACAATCGATACCGAGCAATTCAAACGAACGAGGAAGGGTGTTGGGACGACGTGTCCAGCCTTCTGAAAAGGAATAGGAGTGCTATTTCCCCTGATTCCAGAATCCGGAGGGGTCTCGGCCCAAGACTCAAACTGTTATATATTAACTTTTAGCTTTCTGGTCATGCCTTGTATTGAATTTAATTAACATCTCGATTCAGTTTCAGATAATGAGAAGCTAGGAGTGGAGGAACGGGTTGATACATCTTTGATGGAGATGATGATTTTTATCTACTGAACAAAACAATCGTAATATAATAGATAGTAGTAGCACGTTTTTAGGAGTGATCTCGTAGTCTGGGGATAGTGAGACGCAGCCATGAGCTCACTATTTTTGCATATAATTAAGTTAAT